AAAAGGAGAGAAAATGAGAATGAAAAAGGGGATTTGTAAAGAAATGAAGGGTTACTTTTGCATAAATACATAGCCATTATCTTGAAGAATTGTGGATTACGTCTATAAATCATATATGTTCAACTTAGGACGATGATTCAGTAAAGCTTCTACGATTGGATTTTCTCAAGAAAAATATGTTCAGGATCTAGGGTTCCTGGGAGTGGGAAAAAAACACGCCACCGCATCCCACTAGAATTTTATGGGCTCAGACGAATTGGGGCCAACAAAAGGCTAGGGTACCTCTACTCAGAATTTAAATAGAATGATTAATGTTTATAGGTTCTAATGAAATTTACGCTGGGTTAATTTCACAAACGGTCACTAAAGTTACGTCAAAATCACAAAACGATCACTGAAGTTTAAAACTTGAACTAACGGTCATTGAAGTATTATACGGTTTCAGTAATGGTCACCGAATGACCTTTTTCATTTTAATTAGAACCTAATGTACAAAAATAGTTGAAACTTGAACTTTGAGGATCCAAATTGCAAATTTGACAATAAAACCCCCCAAAACCATTTTTTTTTTTTTTGTGAACTTAACCCATGTAAGGTGATTTTTTTTTATCCCTACTATAATAAAAGAGCCAATTCGCCGGGCACTATTCATTTTGAAGCATTTGTGTTTCCCTAATTACCCCCTTTGTTATCTACTGTATATGCAAAACGATGAAATTGTTATAAAAATNGAAAAAAGGAGAGAAAATGAGAATGCAAAAGGGGATTTGTAAAGAAATGAAGGGTTACTTTTGCATAAATACATAGCCATTATCTTGAAGAATTGTGGATTACGTCTATAAATCATATATGTTCAACCTAGGACGATGATTCAGTAAAGCTTCTAGCCTTCTACGATTGGATTTTCTCAAGAAAAATATGTTCAGGATCTAGGGTTCCTGGGAGTGGGAAAAAACACGCCACCGCATCCCACTAGAATTTTATGGGCTCAGACGAATTGGGGCCAACAAAAGGCTAGGGTTCCTCTACTCAGAATTTAAATAGATTGATTAATGTTTATAGATTCTAGTGAATTTTATGCCCTGTTTGATAATGCGCTTTTTCAATAGAAAATGGAAAATAATTTTCATTTCCAACATAAAGCCTTGTTTGATAGGCACAAAATTCTTGGGAATTGATTTTCCACTCAAGGGCTTCACGCACCCCATTTCCCACATTTTGAGGAATTTGATTTCCCACTAAAATGGTGGGAAATCTGATTCAAGGTTTTTTTATTTTTTTGCAATTGAATTTTTAATAGAATTTAAGATTTGAATGAATTTCAATTTTGTAAATTTTAATAAAGTTTAAAGATTCTCATGAATTTGTTAACTTTTTATTAAAATTGTATTTTTACCTCGATTACTCAAATAAATTATCAATAGTACTTTGCAGTAAATTTTAAAATTTCACCATACTATTTCGAAGTCTATTTGTCTTTATGAACCAAATTATGTCGGTACGAGCAATTTTCTATTGCATATTATGTTGCAGTTCGCAAATTTTAATTATTAATCTAAGTCCATTTGTGTGCACTAGATCTTTATAGAGGTGTCAAGACGGACGGGCAGGCCAGACCCGTGAAAATCGGCCCGGATCGACCCGAGCGGGCGGTTCACGGGTCAAGGAGGTGTAACCTGCGGGTTTCGCGGGTTACACCTTCACGGGCCGCGGTTAACCCGCTGGCCCGTGAAAAAAATTTTTAAAAAATTTGAAAAAAAAAATGGAGAGAGTCAACCTAG